ATTATATAGATATGATAATAACGGAAACGCTGACCAAAGCCTTAATTGACGCCGAGTTGTCTTTCATGAGAGAGACAATGAATACATATTTGCTGATTAACCAAGATCCTTTGATTAAGAAACAGTTGAGACTATATGATCCGCTCGTCAAATTCATGGACCCACCCGTCTATGGCTCTATTGATCCCAATTTTCGAGATTTTATGGCACCGGGAATCATAATATCTGTCATTTACTTCATGGCCGTGGGTCTGACGGCACTGACACTAGTGGTGGAGCGAAAGGAGGGCCTAATGGAGAGGTCGCTGGTGGCCGGGCTTAAGATGCACGAGATTCTCGCCTCACAAGTCTTACTACAGTTCTTTATAGTGGTATTACAGGCAACACTACTCATGATATTCACGTTTTTGGTGTTTCAAGTGCCCAACCAGGGTAATATTGTCTACATTATACTCATTGTTTTGCTACAAGGACTGGGCGGCATGTGTTTCGGTACGAAGTGTTTTATGACATATTTGATTGAATCTAATTATGTGAATGTGTTGATGGGTTGGCAGGTCTGGTCATATCATCCGTGTGTAAGGAGGAGAACTCGGCTATAATGGCTTCGTTGGGATCTTTTTATTCATATTTCTTGATATCGGGCGTCATTTGGCCGCTCGAAGGGATGCCCCCGTGGCTCAAGACTATCAGCTATTTTATGCCACAAACCCTGTCTATAATATCTCTCCGTAATGTCATGTTAAAGGGCTGGACTATAGTCTACGAAAGCGTTTATTTAGGTTTTATATCGATTTTTATCTGGATATTTCTTTATCTATTACTCGCGTCAATAATTTTAAGATATAGAAAATAGTTTTGTTTGTAATGTGTATTAACTATAATTTAATTTATTTTATAATAAGTATATTTAATTAAAAGTTGATTAATTATTAATTTATATGAATAAATATGTTTTATATAATTTATTATATTATCTTTGTCATTATGTTTTTGAAACTTAATTTTTAAGCATTAGTGGCTGTAATTGAAAATTTTAACAGTTTATTTAAAAGTATTGCCTTGATAAACACATATTAAAATACAATATTTTGTTTACTAACCAGATTTTTAATATTAAAATTTATTTAATCTACAAAATATTTAAAATGACAGACTTTGACACAACAGTCTGGAAATATTTTAAACTGGATTTTATTTTCAATTTTATTATTTATTTAACACTAATCGTAAACACTTTTTAAAATGAAATGTTTTCCATAATTTCATATAATTTTAACCTGTATTACTAACACTTATTTTGAAATTAGTTGTAAACTAATAAAAATATAAAGTTTGAGAAAATGTATCTTAAATTACAAAATGAAGATGACTTTATGAATAAGTCTTATAGAAGTCAAGACATTGAATCCCTTGATTGGACTAAATTAATGGTCAAAATACGATCAATTGATTTTACATATGATCCAAAAATCAGATTCATTGACAGACTTAATATGTCTGTACCCAAGGGTGCCATGTATGTAATTACTAATTTAATAATTTTTTATAGAATTCCTAAATTAGCTATTAATTAAATATAGATATGGGTTATTAGGACCGAGTGGCTGTGGAAAGACATCTCTACTAAAACTTATATTGGGTAATTTTTTTTGTTAAATGTCACAATTTATAATAAGTTAAATGGTAATTTATATTAAAATTAAATTTGACCAGGCTTAATCAAACCAAGAGCTGGCAAAATCAGAATTAATGGCAAACGCGTGGGACATCCTGTCAATAAGATACCGGGTATTGGCGTTGGTTTTATGCCACAAGTAATTCATAAATTAATAAACTAAATACAAATAACTTATAAATTATTTATAAATTTATTGAGGAATTGGCTCTCTTTCAAGAAATCACTTTAAATGAATCACTCAATTACTTCAGCAGATTATATGGTATGAGTGATGAACTGATCCATTCAAGGATTAAGTTTCTGGTTGACTTTTTTGATTTGCCCGATGGGGACTGTCTTATTGGCACCATGAGGTACATTGGTAATATAATTTTAAATGTACTTTTATCATTTATAGTTTATTTAATTATTTTAGTTGTGGTCAAAAACGTCGAGTCTCTCTGTGCCTATCGCTCGTAAAATTTATATAAAATTTATTTATCTATTAAACAACAAATAAATGTTTTAATAAAATGAGTTCATATATCGATTAATAGGTCCACAATCCACCATTTCTTATATTAGATGAGCCAACCGTCGGAACTGATCCACTGCTCAAAGAGAAGTATGTATTCATTCATAATTGTATAAAATTAACAATTTAAAAATTTTATAATATTTATTAAGTTTATTATTAACTTTTTTAAATGAATTAATGTTTACATTGAATGCAGAATTTGGGAGCATTTGGTGGTGTTATCTGAGATGGAGGGCACGACTATTATAATAACCACCCATTATATAGAAGAGGCCCGAAGAGCTCATATCGTATGAATTGATTTAGAAATGTTCAAAACTTAGTTAATTATTTATATTTAATTGGCTTAAAGGTGGCACTCATGAGAAAGGGTAGACTATTGGTCGAGCATTCGCCACAATTCCTGTTAAACTATTTTTGTGTTCAAAATCTCGAAGAAGTGTTTCTGCGAATGTGTGGCAAAAAAGTGGCCGAAGATATGCCCGAAAATTATTATGAGTCCCGAAGAATGGATTTCAATGAAAATGTATTTTTTAGTAATAAAGTACTAATGGATGACGAGATAAGAGACCAAAAGATGATAAGTTCAGTCACTTCTATGGATAGGGTGTTAACGCAAACACATAAGAATGCCATTAGAGTGATGAGAAACATACCGTAAATAACAAACAAATTAATTATTTCTGACTAACCCTTATTTAAATATAATTTTAAAATTATTAGTTCGCTTATATTTCAACTGATTATACCAACATTGTGTGTGATATTAGTATGTCTTTGTATTGGGAAAAAACCATATAATATGCAAATAGCACTTTACAACGGTGAGAGAGATAATACGTTTACCAAACTAAGCCATACATTTATAAATCATGTAAATTCGACTACAATTAAATTCGTGAGTTACAGCATATATAGTACTGTAGTATAATTTGTTAAAATATAATATTTTTAATAATTACATTTTAATATATTAGAAACATTACACATCTAAAGAGTCTGCACTTAAATCAGTTGAATCGGACGGTACATACGGAGCCCTTATCATAGATAAGGATTTTACTTTAGGTATTATAAACCGATTTGAATCTCAAATCAATGTCACCGATAAAAACTACGATAACAGTACCATTCAATTCTATGGAGACTTCACTGGTAATTAGCTGTCATACTAGTTAATAGTAATGTTGTTTTAATTGAAAAATTGATATTTCATTAAGATTTCATAATAATGCAAACTTTGATGAAAACCCTGAGGGAAGCAGACCTAAAGTTTATGAAAGAAATAATGGATACGTATAAGCCGAGACAAAACACGGCAATGTTTGATCCAATAGTCAAATTTATGAACCCACCAGTGTTTGGCACATTAGAGTCCAATTTCCGAGACTTCGTGGCCCCGGGATTGATAATATCGTTGGTGTACTTCATGGCTGTCGGTCTGACGGCACTGACCCTCGGAAGTGAGAAAAAGAGTGGTC